GGTGCACTGTCTACAGTGGTATAGACACATATTCTTTCTTTTCCCACCAAAGACTACACTTGTCTTAATTTCCTCTCAATTACACTCAGGCATTAACTAATACTGACTAACTACAGCCCAAAATAATTATTGCTATCTGTTCCCTTTGTAAATATAACTCCAGCACTGAGCTAGAAGAATAATGGCATATTTACAGAAGGCAGCTAATTAAATAGAGCTTCAATTGCTTTCAGTTTGCCAGAAGGAGCCATTTTCACAGCAAAAAAATGTGTGCAAGCCTGTATGCTTACCAGGAACAACTCGGTATAACATAATTCAGAGTTCCCAAGACAAAAATTCAGTTCAAGACAAATTTACGCTGGCAATAAAAATCTCATTAAGGAAGATATGAAGATCTCTCTACTACACCACGACAGTTAAAAGAGGTTATCATTTTTTCAGTTTATTTAAGGAACAGTATATATTTCATTGTTCCAGAGCAGCTGTAATTGCAAGTGTCTTTCAAACATTGCTTGCAGTAATGCATTTGTCTTATGACTGTAACTTCAGAACCAGCCTGTTGATGCATCTTCATTAGAACAGGAGAGGATGCTGGAGTTTCAGAGCTCTTCAACAGTGCAGTTTTCCCTATTTTTCCAGCCCCTGCTTCTACATTTTGGAAATTCTCTCTTGCCACCATTATTCAGACACCTGCAAAGATTTCCTGAGGTCACAGTTTGTCTCCAAATGTTTGCACCCTCTTTTGTTCCTTTGAGACGTTTAGCTGAAACCATTCATGATAATTACAGAGCAGCAGCCCTTTGAGGAATCAAAGTCTGAAAGAACCATTCTTGTTAAAGCCTGTTGTTAGCAGTCCCCAGGGCTTTTTCTGTTTTACAAAAACAAAAATAAGGGGATTGTTTCAGAGTTGTTTTTTCCTCCATAACAAAGGATGTCTGTTTCTTGTCCCAGTGTTCAGATAGAGAAGCCTGGTGCAGAGCTTGTTAGTCTTCCCCTTTGCAATAGTTCGCCAAGTTGCTGGATGGAAAGCTGATTTTCTTCCCCTGCCTGCATATAATTCCTGAATTTGTTTTTATCTGTTGGAAGTAACAATTTGGCAGACATCAGCACTTTTCCCATGTTTAATTAATTCCTTTAATTTTGTGGTAAATGAGAATAATGGGGCTTAATTTTGCTATTTATGTAAAATTGATTGGTAATTATGGAGAGCACAGGAGATTTGGCTTTACAAACCAAAATTAAGTGACCTCTCTATGAGGATGACTTGGCACGTCTCCTTCACTTGTGAGAAAGCAGAGATGTCATGGAAGCAGATGTCGCTAAGCTGCTTTTAGGTTACAGGAACACAAAATATGGGAATGTATTTGTTTTAAAAATATATTGAATGAATGTAAACTGGTACCAAGAATGAAGTACAGCATGCCTTACAAAGACTGTTCTTACCAGATCCTCTTCTGAAACAATGCCACATCCCTTTATTTTTCAAGATGTGATACTGTCGTGCCTCAGAGAGCTGAGGAGCTGGGGTAAGATCCGATAAATCTTTTATGAGGAGTGCTTGCGCTCGAAGCAGAGCTGGGACTGTGGATACCTGCCTTCAGTTTCTGTTTCTGCCACAGATGACTTCTGTGCCCTTTAGGAAGTTACTAATCTTTTTCTCCTGCTGCAACATGGGCTTTGTAATACTTCTGGTCTGCTTTGCTCAGCTGGAGTGCCAATGCTTTGGGGAAGGATTTGTCATGAAAAGTGCATAACAGAGCTGGGCCTGCCCCCTGTTTGAGACTCCTGTGTGCTACTGAGACACAGATAGTAAATAATAGCATAAAGTGTGCACCAGCTGCTGGTCGCTCATAGTTGTCTCCAGAACTTGGTAGAAGAGATACGCTGTAGCCCAGCTCTTTCCACCATGGATAAGATGGGTGGATGGCTCTGAAGCGTTGGCAGAACAGTACACAGACATGAAGTGGGAGGCACGGCCCTCCTTGGAGAACGTGCTCTCATCTACCGTGCGTTGTGCCCTCAAGCCCAGGGCACAAAACGATCGTGGAGGGAAGGGGGCTCTCAGCGCAGTGGAGAAACCTGGGCTTTGGAGCATCTTTGCCAAGTGCTTCTGGGGCTCTGCAGTGCTGGGCTATAGTTCTCCGGCTGCTGCTGCTTTGGGTCGGGTGCTGCTGTAAACCCCACCTGTGCTGCAGCCACTGCCCTTGGAGAGGTGCCTTGGGCTAGGCCAGGATTATGGGATGAGAGCTGGGGACTAGACCCAGGAGGAGAAAAGCTTTGTTAGCCTCTGCCAGAAGTGCTACCTATATTTGCAGGGAGAGGGACAAGCTAGTGGGACTTCTTTTGAATTTAGCTTCGAAATCTAATTTCAAAGGCAACCACTTGCAAATTTCCAACTGTCTTTCAGTCTTAATGTTGAAAGCCCCTTGCATTCCCCCAGTGGCAATGCTCAGCAGCCCTTGAAATTATTTCCAGCATGTATCTTAAGTTTCAGAAGAAGGAAGCATGGGAAAAAAAACAATCTAGATTCTCCTTGGTGATGCTGCATCAATACTTGGCTGATCTGTGTAATGCTAAGCACAGTGGAGCAGAGCTGAGCTACCAGTTGCTAGCTAACAAGAGGATTAGGTATGCCTGCAAATGGGCAGGCATAACTTAAGCAAGAGGGCAAATGCATAGAAAAGTCAAACTTGGACTCCAGGGGAAGGTGGTGCTGCTTTTGTGCCAAAGAGCATCCTCTGCACAAACACCAGGCAGGAAAGCAAAGCAAAAGTGGTTGTTTGGCTGGAGCTTGAAGTGCGTTTTGCAATGAGTTGGTGCAGCTTTGCTTAACAGTTGTTACTACTAATAATTGTACTTACATTCCTGGCCAACCTAAGCACTCTGCGTTTTGTACGTGATAATTAAATCCAGTCAAAATGTATTCACAAACTATCAGTAGGTTCTGTTTAACAAATAGCATCCTCCAGAGTGGGCTGGAGAACAGGGAAATCAGATGAATAGACAGCAAGTAGTTTTCAAACCCAAGAAATAATGTAGCAATACTTTTTCCTGTTGATCTGGTGAGGGGCTGGGGTGTGGGAACAGGGCTTGGGGGCCAGGGTACGGGGGAGGCAGTAAATGCCACGTTGCTCTGCTGCCAACGGGTTATCTGCTCTTGCCTGAAGCCTGGAGCCCGTGGGGACCCACCGCCTACCTGGGCAGGCTGCTGGGCAGCATTTGTACCGCTCTCCAGGTCCCTCAGGGCAGGAGTGGTCCCACATCATCTTTTCCATGATTTTACCCAGAATCAGCATTGAACAAAAACAGGCCTGGGCTGTTCAGTTAAACCTTTTCAATAATGGCACGATCCTAAATTTCTTGAGGTCCTTTGAGGCTTCCTCATTGAATACAGATGGTTCAAAAGGATCAAGACTGCTTCAGAGAGTTCTTTGTCAATTGTTTTAATAGTCTTGAGAGCAAATCATTCAATCCTACAGTTAAATATTTACATTGTTGGTTGGTGTTTAGAATCTTCTGTTACTGTTGCAATAAAAAGTATTGCCATATCACAGTGAAAGGTAAACAATTCTTTTTTAAAATAGAGAATAGAAACGTTTGCTGTTTATTTCTGCATTTTTCTGCAGGATGTTTGACAATTTCTCCATCCTTATCTATTATGAAATCTGCAACCTTGCTAGGATTTAATGTCATGCTATTACATTAAATTTCCATCTTTTTGTTATTATTCAAGTCCTAGAATTTCCATCGATACCTTTAGGTTCCTTTTTCAAATTGTCTGCTCTTCTTTGTTGCCAATTTATGCCTCTTGAGATCAGAGCCTTCGTTCTTCTGTTTATGATTGAATTTTTAAATGATTTTTACAGCTCTCATTTTAACTAAACTTTTTTCCCTTTTAACTAAAGAAATCTCCTTTTGTGGTTGTAGGGGGTTTTCTTCCTAGATGTCATTCACTCCCACTTTATTTTGTTCAACATCATTTTCAGTTCCTGTTTTGAAATGTCTGTTTTTCAGAGTACCAGCAATCAGTATTAATGGTCAAGCTTATATTTGTACAGAAAGAATGAAGTGTGGTCATGACTGCTGGTAGCGAAGCCATGATGAATATTTAGGCTGGTAATTCACTCTTTTTGTCTTTTTATCCAGAGAGACTGACTGTTGAATCACCTCAGCATAGCTGCCATATTTCTTGTATTAGAAAAGCCAGTTTGTAAAGTGGTTCGCCAAAGCTGGAACTCCCGTGGTAACGTCACTTTTCTTCTATGTATCGTGTATTTCAGGAGATCTGGAGGGGTCTCGGAGTGATGCCTCGTAATGCACTGGAGTAAGATCCTGTGCTAACTGGGTCTTGAGTTTATAGACGAGTCTGTAATTCTGTTGTCTTTGTCTTTAGTAGGAATTACAGCCAGGGATGTCTTGATAAGAAAGTAAAAGGCAGAAATTCAGTAAAGGATCAAAGCAAGCAGCTTACCAAGGAAGGAATCAGGTCTGAAGGCACACGAAGACACTTCAGCTACTTTATGGTGTGGGTGTGAATGAACTGCGGGGTGTTGGCAGGCAGAAAGATGGACCCGCTCATAAATAGACTGTCTGCCCTCCTGGAGAAACGGGGACAGGCTGAAGCTTCAAGGGACTGAACGTATTAAGCTGAGATTAAAGATAATGCTTCTTGGGGGAGTCAGACTCTGTCCTCAAGCAGTGCAGAGCGCTGCTAACAGTTCACCGCTGCTTTCTCGCAGTGTTGGTAGCAACACAGAGGTGGTGATTTAAGAACCTGCTCTGTGGAGCAACGCAAACTGGGTTAACCGTAGGGGCTGGTCGCCCGTAAGAGCTCATGGTGGGGGGAATGAGAGGCAAAGTAATGATTGCAAATAACAGGTGAAAGGAATTGAAGTTAATTAGGGCTGCAGCATCATGTGAAGTTGTGGAAAGCTACTCATCATGCTGTATGCAACTATCTGATGACTATCACAACCTCTTTGTTCATCTGAATTCCTCCAGGCAAATCCTAGCCCCTTCCCCCAAGGGGTCGGAGGAGCAATTGCGTTTTGGCCTCAAAGAGAAATCCTGTTGACTGGAACAAGTAAGACACCTATGCTCGTTTTCTATGCTTTTTGTATGCTTGTTGGCTGTTGGTTTAGCATTTTACAAGTGAGGCTGAGAACAGATGATAATATTATTTTCCTTTTTCACATTTTTTTTTCTATAAATTTATTCTTCATGTGCCTGCAAGAACCAAGTTTCCCCCCTATTGTTCTTGTTATTGGCATTATACACAGATAAAACAATTCAAGAGAGTATTTTTCCTAGTTAGGCAGAGCAGAGATACAATATACTATAGGCACATCTGTCAACACGATGCTCTGCCTGTCTTTATTTTCTCACAGTTTGCTTGTGGTCCATTTAAAATTAGATTACGACTGATTGGTTCCTGCATTCTAACTATTTCACATGACGCTCCATCCACTGATGTATAAAACAAAACTGAGGCGACTGGAAAGCCTAAGGGATCAATTCCAAATATCACTGTGTAATAAAACCATATTTCCTTAATTTTTTTATTGATTCAGCACTCATTCTCCTGTAATGCTGCTGTGGTAATATTAAAACTCAGTGACTGACAGCGGCATCCCACAGAAGTGATTTAAATAGCAGTACCAGGGAAGAAAAGAGGCTTGGCTTTTGCAACAATTTTGCTCCAACTGGCCCAGAGGATCTCCCTGGTAGGGAGGGAATATACTGTACATCTTTTTCCCTTTGAAATGTATCATTTGTATTTCTTTCAGCCCTGTGAAGGCAACAGGATTCCTGCTGTTGACACTGCTGGGCACAGCCTGCAGCCTTTCAAAAGTAAATATGCGTATTTGGTTTGTACGTTGGAACTAGTTAGTTGTGTAGGCAAAGGCATTTCTTCCAATGCAATCCCCAGACTACTCTTCCTGTGATACGCAATCCAAAACAAATGAATGTTTCTGTGCAATGGAAGGAATTTGGCTAATTAACAGTCACAAAATGTACGCCACTTGCAGGTGGGAATTTCAAGGGACCTTAAGAGGGTTGTACAAGCTGGACGCAGAAGCCCCTCGATGCGCTTGGAAAGCCTGGCCTGCCTGCGGAAAACGCGCTGCAGACTTGGTTGCACACCGTAAGCCTGCAGCACTGCGCTGACAAGAGGCATTTCTGTCTCTGCTGCTCACAAGGCTTTTGGTTGTGCAGGCAGGGTATTCACAGCGTTCTGGTATGCGTTTCCATTCCTGATGAGCACATGCAAATGAAAGAGAAGACAAAATTTAAAAAAAGGGAGGGGGGAAACTGAATGCATGGGGGAAGCTCCAGAGGCTGCTGGGTGGGGTTACTGGTTTCTCTGTCAAGGCAGGTTATCTGCCCTAATGAGCACCCCAGAGCCATTCAAAAGCCGTGGCCTGGGGCCAGCTTCTGGAGCGGGGAAATGTTAATGGAAATGGTCTCCTCCAGGAGTTCCCCTAAGTCTGGCAGAGACAGTATTTCCAATTGGGGTAGATATAAATCTCCATTTGTGGTCCAAAGCTTAGAAACAAGAGCCAGAAACACTTGCTCAAAATGGTCCCGATTGCAACGCGCTGAACCAGAACCGTTCACAAAAGGTAAACTTTGATTAACGTACAAGTCCAAAGTAACCCAAAACTGTTCAGTGGTAATTTCTGGATGAGGAACGCGGCTGAGCCTCCTTAGTGGCTGGGCGCTGGGAGCAAGGTGAAGGGCCTCACCCCTTGGCTCAGCCTGGTTCCAAAGCAAAGCAACCCCCCCAAAACAAACAAGAAATTCAGTCCTGGCCAAAAAATGGCATCTCTGTGACTGACACTAAGGGGGCTGTTTTATTTGCTCTGCAAACGCCATTCTTGGCAATAGCAGACACTGATTAAGAGTGCAAAAAGGCAACTTGGGTCTCGGCTGTTGAGGACAGAGGGGCAAACAGCGTCATGACACCTGTGATGCATCGCAGGCCCTGGGAGGAATGAACGCTGCAGCCCATGTGTCCCTTTGTGCGCCGGGGACCATTTTCCTAGCTGTAACTCTGAGCTTGTTTGCTGTTGACTGAAGTCGGGCAGTAGTATTGCTCGGGTGTGCTACTGAATGAATATTGAGTGTGCCTCTAAGATAAAGTCATTATTTAGGAGCTCATTAAAGTACTGGCCTTGAAAAAAATTCCCTTTGCTAATATCCTCTTCCATCACTATGTCAAGGTTTGGAGTTGGTTTGGAGAAAGAGCCGCACATTTGCAGAGCTCCTGTAGCTCCCTCTCTCCTTTTACTTGCAGGGGCTGCTGCAGCCAGGGCTGGAACAAAACTTTTTAAGCCTAGAGCTGAGAAAACACCAGGTGGTAACAGGAGCTGCAAATTGCTAAGTAACTCTGGCAAAGTTCCTCTGCACCCTCATTTCCAGAAAAAAGCCCTGAGGCTGTTTTCTCTATCTGTGGAGCGGCCTCCTTCCTTTAGCGAGTTCAGGTATTCCCCCTGCCTTGAAAGCGCGCATCTCCCCTCGCTTTCCCGCACCCCTCTTCTCCTTCCTCTCCTCAGGGTCCTGAGTTCACTTTGCACCCTTTCTGCAGGATTTGCAGACGTAAGGAGGAGAGCAGCGAGAGCTGATTTCGCCCCCACCTTTCTCTGCTTCTGCTATCCAGCGTGCCGTGCACAGCCGTCATCCAGGAGGCCACCGTTGGTCCTCAGCCTGTGCACGCAGCTGCTCCTGCGTTGCCGTATGAACGGTCGAGGCTTCGCTGACAGAGAGCCTGGGGCTGCCTGCTTTCAGCCGCTAGAAGGTAACTTTAATTGTCAAAACTGAGTTTTTGGACTTGTGCTTCCATGTAGTCCCCTTACAGTTTCCTAGATGAATGCTTTCAGGGTTAGTACTTCACTGCCAAATAAAAAGGTTTTGACTCATCATTGCAAGATTCAGGATGAAGGATCACAGCAAGTGTCTGCTCTGGAGAATCTATTTCTTGCCCACCCTTCCTCCAGACGGTGCGCAAGGACCTGCTGGAGCTTAAACAAATACTAATATGGAGTAATGGTATTTAATCCTCTTCAAACCATGATTTACAGAATCTGATTATTATCATAATAGCTGATCTACAGTTCTTAATGCTTTATTGTTATCCCATTACAGGAAGGTTCTGCTGGCACTGCATATTGTCTACTTCTCTTACAAATGTTCTACAGAAACCTTATTAATTATTAGTCTCATAAAACACCTGTTAATGTTACCATTTTAATAAATCTCCTCCTTAATTAAATTAGGTGATTTTGATAGTAATCCTCTAATGTCCACTGCCCTTCTATTCTCATCACAGTCCGATTGTACAATGGGAAGCAGTGTTCAATTATAATTGATGTAGGCCATAATTCAGAACCAAATTATAACATATAAAGCCATATGATCATTGAGGAATATAATAGATTTCCACACTAAAGTGTCATTTGGATTGATTAGTGCTGTTTCCAGAGCCTTATAAGAAGTGAGAAAAGGCTTAATTCAAAAGGATCTCTTTTTCTTTTTTTCCCTTTTGTTTCTCCCTTTTTTTCTTAAATACACTCTATTTCCTCCTTGAAACACAGCCTCTGGTCCAAACACTTTGGTGTACCGGCCACAACATCTACTTTCCCACTTGTGTTTCAGTTCTAAAACTGACCTTTTTAAAAAGATTTTTTTTTAAGGCAGACTAGACGATGATTTTATTTAATGATTTAATAAAACTTTTCCTCCTGAGATGGAGATGCTAGAAATCTTGCTGATCTATTACTGCTGCTGCCCAAGCACGAAAGTACAGTTATATATGATACAGCAATACTAAAGCTCTAAGCAAAAAATTAAAAGCATATAAGAAGAAAAACCTTACACAAGCAGGAATGTTGTTCAGGCACGGGGAAGACTTCGCACACTGAAGTGAACAGGTTGCCCCATTTGGATCCAGGTCGTGTCCTCTCTGCTGGGAAATGTCTCGGGGGAAAACTCCCCTGACCGTGCCAGGGCTCGTGCATCTTCCACGTCCTTCTGGTATCTGGGCACCTTGCAGCCTCAGCTGTTTCTTCTCAGCTTTGCAAGTGAGGAAGTGCCATGTTTTATGGGATTAGCAGTGGTTCATGATCTCACAGGAAACCTCACAGAACAAAGAGGAATTTTCCAGGGTTTTTGGTGAGAGTCTGACTGTTAGCTCGAGACCTTTTTTGCTACTGCAAGTCTCTTTACGTTGCGTCGCTGCCTGCGTCCCCTTCAGTCACAGTCATCTGCCTTCCGCGTGGCAGCTGCCAATGTTTATTGCCCAGGAAAGCAATGCAGCAAAATGTTGCATGTGGTTTTAATTGATTTTTAATATAACTTAGAAGCTCAGGTGGCCTCAGTTCCTCCTCAGAACCTCCCCTTTAGCCCTGTGCATGTTCCTTCTGCCACTTCTCCCATTTATCCGTGGGTGTTGGTCTCCATTCCCCAGTGAACCTCAGGGGACTGCTGGCCTATTCTTGCCCCGCTCCATCAGGCGCATCCTGTCTCTCCTCAGTAGTCCTCATTTTTCAGAGAGGGTCCCCTGGCTACAATTTTTGAATCATTTCTGAATCAACCAAAAGGATGCTTTGGCTACTTTGTAGGTGATCTGGCTATTTTAAAAAACTTACTTTCTTACTTTTAAAACTCAATTACACACCAGAAGTGTTTTGAAGAGGAAAAAGCTGCAAGTTTCATTTGGAAAATGTTGAAATGAAATATTTTGACTTTCTAAAAATGAAACATTTGGATGCATTTGGATTATTTGCTTCATGTTTTTCTCCTAGCGGACCTCTTTGACAGAATTTTACCTGACTTTGCCAAAGGTTTACTGAAAGTGCATTGTTTTGATGAATTCTGAGGTATCAGCTTTGGTTGCTCATTTGCTCAGGCTCAGATCCATTCAGTCCTTCATCTCTAGAAGACCCTCTCCTTTCCCTCCTCTACCCAGATCAGATGCCATTTCAAGCAGGTCTGAGAAGGGACTGAAGAAGGTAAGGACTTCAGTCTCAAGTCATATGAAGCAAGAAATAAGAATAACTGGAAATCGAGGACGAGATGGAATGCAGGCCGCTAAGGGGTAAGCGTAGCACAGGTAACTTACAAGTTGCTGAAAAGCACCACAAACAAATGAGGTCTGAGTTCAGTACGTTTAACAAACGTACTCTCAAGTAATCCTCTAGCATTTCTCTACTGACTGAACCACAGCCGAGGCTTGCTGCGGGAATGCAGGATTTTGCATGTCAAGCTTGCGATTAGGCATTAGCTCATGGCAGCACACTGTGGATCTTCCTCTGGGAAAGAGATGATGCCCATTTCTGCCCTCCAGGCGCTGCGTGGCAGATCCTCTATTCATTTGTGCGCAGTGGGATAACTGATGGCGGGTTTCCTGGAGCTGAATACTGCCTGCCTGGGGTTGGTATTTGGCTCTTCCATCTTGCCTTCCTTTGACATCTGATATGAACTTCCAGCGTTGCACAATCAAACGAGGCAATCCTCAACGCTGATGAGTCTTTTTGTTGCTAGGAGACGGCTTCTTGAGAAGCAACATTCATTAACTTGTTGGGAGTGGATAAGGAACCGCGAATTAAAGTAATTTGAAAACACTTCTACCTTCACACATTAATTGCAAACACAGGGAAATTATCCTGAAATCTGGGGTATTTTGGTTACTCTCTGAACATTGTTATTTTAATAGACAGGTTGAATGTTGCACAGTGGGGCTACCACTGTGCGTAGTTATTGCTCTCCTCCCGCTCTCTCTGGATGCATTCAAACCACGCTAAACGCAACAGAGCCCAGCGCTTGCACAGTCCTGCCTCTGCGCTCTGCTTGGCCCCCAGAAATGCTCAGATACCATTAACTGGTTAAACGTGGTGATGCTTAGAATCGGTGCGTAGCTCACCCTTGCCGAACTTCAGCAGGTGAAGTGTGTCGTCTGTTAAGCTACGTTCCTACTAGAGAGAGATAATGCAGTAGGAGATAATGCATTAATTATATATCAGGGCATTTTTCTGAGTGTAACACATCTCTGCTGGGAGAAGGGGAGACAGGCACAGAGTCAATCCTGTCCTACGCAGGCTGCACTTTGTAGCTCACCCTCCCCAAATAATTCTTTGGATCATTTAACAACAACAAAATCACGCCTGTGGGCCCTTTGGAAGAAACAGTATGTGGCTTCTGCCTCGGTGTGCTTGATCCTGCCCCGTAACACCTCCCTGGCCTGGAGGGACCCCCGTGCCCAGCGCAGCTTGGTCACCTCCTTGTCTCTGCTTTTTCCCCATGGTGGTGTAGGAACAGGCTCGGCTGCCTATTGCTGGGGTCAAGCAAGGGAGTGTGGGGGGCCATCTCCGACCTCCCTGCGTGGCTGCCTTTAGCATCCTTTCTGGTCTGGCCCAGGCAAGCGCAGGCAGAGCAGCTGTGCTGTGCCATTCAGTGACAATGTTTTTTCTGTATCCTGCACAAAAACAATCACTTACTGCACATTAGCGGGATGTAGTGGAAAATTTATGTAGGATTTCTCTCTCTGTTCAGATCGAACAGCAGTACCATTCTGTGAGAGAAGTGGGCCTCAGCAGAGCTGAATGGCTCAAAGAGTGGGTCATATCAATGCTGATAATCTTCCCTAGTGATAACGCAGTGGATTACACAGCGATTGGATGTTGAGAGTATGCTGACCTTAATCTCCCTTAACTTTGGTTTTCTCTTCCATCAGATTATAACGGAGAAAGTACAACATGTGCCATAAAAGATTACACACATCCTGCCACACTCCGCAGATGGCTGATACAAAAATCAGAGACAATACTAAAATAATTAAAAAACTCACAAAAATAAACCAGTGCATTCAGCTCCTTTGTGAGGCTGTGGCTAAGGAAACTGAGCCAGCCAGCCTGAAATGCACAATATAAATGTAAGTAGATCTTATTAAGATTCTGTGTGGCTCTTAAAGCATCCTCAGCCCTTGCTTCCAGCTTAGCATCGCGACTAATGGGGAGGAGAGGGAGAGATTAGTTTAGGCTACTCTGAGACACCACAGATACACACAGGAGGCATCCTGTGTTGTTTAAGCTTGTATTTCACTGTCCTGCTATGTGACGAGTGGAGTGCCAAAAATACAGAAGAGTTGGCACATAAAATCCATGTCTACTTTATCTACTCTGTCAAGGCTAAAAAAAGTCCTGAATGAGCCTTGGAGAGTCAACAAATCACTGCAACAGCAGCTGAAGAAGGAAGTTCAGCTTGAGTTCAGCTCATTAGAATTCCCTTTAATGTGCACCCTTGCAGACCGGCAGGCTGCGTGGGATCTCGGCGAGCGGAAGGATGCTTGTGAACTTGTCGGCAAGCAGAAAACGGACAAGGTTGATGTGACTGACCTTCTGTGCTGAAGCCTGATCCTTCCTGTCGTTTGAGATGGCGGTGCAGGAAGAAAAGATCACTGAGTACACCCGTGTATTGGAGATGGTGAGAAATCGGCTTTTTGCACAGCTTTCTTGGGCAAATCCACACCTACCTACTGAGAAGTGTGTCCTATTTATTTCTTGTACTAACGTGAGGCCCCAAAGGGGAGAGCAGCTAGGTAGAGGAGTGGCCATTGCAGAGAATAAACATGCGATCATTCATTTGGAAAATGCCCTTTCCTAATGGCAATATTTGTTTAAAAAGCAAACAAGGCCTATGAACAATGAATATGTTCCTTTTCTGTTCTTCCACACAGACAATGTAAAAAAAAAAAGGGACTTAATCCTGCAGTGCCTATGTTGGGCAAATTTCTCATTGACTCCAATGGGAATTTTGCTCAGGAACTGCAAGACAGGCCTGGTAACGTTATTTCCATTTATTCAATAGTTCTGAGATTGAAAACGATAGAGACTGGGCAAAAGAAATAACAGGGGCATCTCATATCCATGTGTCGCTTCATTAAACATCTGAAAATGGCAATGAAAAAGCAGAGATTGTGGAATGAGATTTCCAGACAGCAGAATGATAACATAAAAGACTGTCCTCTGCTTGTACAATATACCTGCAGTCAGAAAAATAAAGGCAGCAAAAATATCTTGCATTATAATAGACAAGGATTTTCATAGCTATTATTTGGGATACACAGGAAGTGGAAAACTGCTTCACACATGTCACTCGTTAGACACCCAATATGTGAATGTGTAACTGAGATAAAAACTCATGTGGCTTTATCCTTCTCCTTAACAGGAAATATTTGCATTCAGGAGCTCAAGAGGTACCATTGAGTAGCTAAGGAATATATGACAAAATATTGTAATGCTAGTGTGCAAGAAAATTAGTCCTTACAAAACACATTATTAGCCTTTGTTACTGTTTTAAATAGAAAAGATTTGATCGATCTTTCTCCTGTCAAAATGGGAAGTGACTAGAAGATGAATTCATTTAAAGCTTCCTGAAGATGTGATAGTTCCTCAAGGAAGGGTTGCTTTTTATACTTGCAGAAAGGGGTCAGATGGCCAGGAGGGGCAGAACAGTCGTCCCATTTTCAGATCCTTCTTTTGGAAGTCATGGCATCCAGCATCTCATCCTGTGCTTTCTGAACTGCAACAAAAAATGTGGCTAAAGCAATCTCAGGATTTATTAAGCCTTGGGCCTTGGTCTGAGGAACTTCTCACTTACTCCTTGTTTGCTGTTTTCAGTAACAGGGCTTGATACTCTGCACTGAAAGGGTCCTACAGCTGAACTTGTGGGTGACTGTGATAACGATCATGCTCAGCTGAGTGGAGGAAGCAGCGTTAGGGACTCTGGGCACAAGGACCAAACTCCGCTCCCGCAAGTGTCCTCACTGGTCCTAAATATGCAGAACCTGCTTCTGCCCCCAAAGCGTTTGTATTTCTCCCTCACTGCTTCTGAGGACTGCTTTGAGTTTGCAGAGCGGTACCATTAGGCATTCACATCAGAGAAAAAAAAAAGAAGAGTGAAAATAGTTCTTCCCCAAACAAAATTCAGAACAGTGGCTTCAACTTGTCGAATCCATTTATGACCCCAAATAGATCGCCCCAGCCACACAGTTTAGCTCTTGAACTCTGGCATTAAATTTGAGGGTAAGCAGTAAATAATTAAAGTGCTGGGGGCAGGCAGGCTTGCAGCCTTCCTTATTGACAACTTGGCCCCGCTCTCATAAATGGCCCCGTAGGAGCCAGTTGCTGGGCTGAGGCTGAGAGGCCTCAGGGATCTCCACTGCAGCCGTGGAGGGCAGGAAGCTCTCAGCAGTGCTGATAAATTGATGCTTCTGACCTTTTAAAGCCCAGCTCTGCTGCAGGAGCGGCAAGTGGAAGCAAGAACGTGCTTGGGATCTCGCTGTAAAAAACAGGGTCTAAATCAGTTGCCGACCCTGTGCTGGCATCGCATGTGGTGTAGAAATCCCCTCTCCGTGGCCTTGGACCTCAGCAGCTCCCTGCTGCAGCTCGTCACCCTGCCTCTGGCTAACGAACTCCCGCAAAACTCCACGTCCTCACCAAGAAACGAGGTAAGAACAAGCGTTGGACGTGGGGTGGAGGCGGGATGGAGGGGACCTTCAGTGCCCACGAGTCCCTCCCTCGCACATGCCGACTTGCGTGTCGGGTTAACACAGTCTCCTGGCGATCCCCTTGGCGGTGCCTAAACCAGCTCTGCTTCAGGGGAGATGCTCTGAAAGCCATTCCTGACAACAGGCAATTTGTAATCTAAGTTCCTACACCAGCACTTTTTTTTTTTTGAGGTATATTTTTTTTTTTTAGGAAAAGAGCTTTTGGCTTGCGCTAGCTAACGTGGCTAGATAGCAAGGCAGGCAACGAAAATTGTAATTCGCACCTTGCTTGCACATCAGGCTAGTCCCTTGGCTTTAGTCTGATGGCCTACCTTAATGCGGTAGTCTGCCTTATCTCCCCTGGCACAAATCTCATGAGACAAATTACCTATTTCAGCAAATCCAGCCACAGCTCTTGTGCTGGGACCTTCCAGGTGGAGACGGTGCGTTGCTGAGCTCCCGCTGTCCTCTCCCATCTCCCGCTGAATGACTGAGCTTGTGAATCAACAGACCAAAAACTCTCCAAATGGCATGGGATGCCTCACTGCTTCTCACATGGTTCTGCTGGAGCTGCAAGCTGGGCAGGCCAGGAGGAACCGGCATGCCGGGCAAATGCTGGCAGGTCAGAGTTTCCATCACCCAAATCTCACCTGCTCTGCAGATGGGCTGCTGCTAATGTGAGACTTCTCCTTGTTAGCTCTAATGCGCTCTGCTCCTCTGTTATCTCAGGCTTTGCTTCCTTGCTTTGACTGTTAAAGGGGACTTCTGCGTTATGGTTTTGTTGCATCTGGATCTGTGCAGCGTTTTTCAGGTTGTGCAGTTCCCTGCACACCTTTGGTTTGTGTTGGATGTGCCCTCGGTGTAATCATTACTCATGTGAAAGCCTGGGGGGAGTTTGCTGTGAGCTGCCAGCCTTGCAGCAGGGTCCTGGCTGCTGCGGGCTCCAGAGATGCTGCAAAGCCGGGGTGAGCGCGGGGAGGAGAGGAGGGACAGCCTTGCACCGGTATCCGACTTAATCACCCAGCACTGCTGCTGAAAAGTAGCACAGATCACAGTTATAATACAGCCCACAGCCCCTGGAGTCCGGGTGCATTAGAGTCTAAAGAGAGAGAGACGCTCCCTAATGGACACCCGCGGGGTTTTTGAGCATCGGTGCATCTTTTTCTGATTGTCTGCTGTGGAGCCCGTGTTTCGAGGAGCGCTGGGCTCGCTGCTGTAAGCCGCCACCGGCTCGTGCAAACTTCCTTGATTGTATCTGCGCCCATCGCTCGCTGCTTACAAGATGAAATGGAAGGCAGCAGTGGCGATGAAGATTAAATGAGCAGCGAGCGGAGCCTGAGCTGAATTTTGGGAGGGTAATTAGTGGCGCCAGTGCTTCTGAGGAGAGTAAAGGGGGTTTTGCTTTCTTCTATTATCTGCGTGGCACGGGGGGAATGCCTGGCAACTCCCTCCTGATCCTTCTCTAATTAAAAGGTTTTCCTGAGTAAGGATGGGAACGTACGCAGAAGCGATAAATTAAACCCTGTAAGTTCCTCGCTCTGTGCCCGTGCTGCCGCAGTCAATAGATTCTGCCCCTCGCCGCGAGGCCGGCGAGAGGCTGCTCCTTTCCTG